AACCTGGGCATGTGGGGATCGAACCAGTGACCTTTTGGTTCCTGGATCGATGCTCAACTGCTGAGCCACACCAGCCGGGCTCTAGTGTACCATTTTAATTGCCTGTTATTTCTTTTAATGTGGGTTATAATTTATATTTTAGTTTATAATAATCCAATTTGTATTAATACCAACTTAATTTCAATAGAATGCAATAACTTTAATTCTGTATAGCTTAAATTCTTTCCTGCTCCTTTGTGATGTTATTGTAATACAACCTATGTCTTTATATCTTATACTAGGGGCCCAGTGCACAAATTCGTGCACCTTGAAAGGAACTGTGGACCGAGAGGCTGTAGTGAGCACAGGGGTGGGTCTCGGCCTATCCTCCATGCCGTTGCCTGGCCCCTTCCACTGTGACCCCTGGTCCCATATCTGCCAGCAGCCACATTCCCACTGCTGCTGCTCCCATGCACTAACGTCGCCTGCCCTGCTCAAACCCACTGATGGTGCAGAGTGATTGGGGCTGGCACCAGCAGTGGGTGCGAGCGGGGCCGGAGCTATCAGTGGGTGCGAGTGGTGGCTGCTGCCCTAATCACCCCTCAGGAGCAGGGAGAGGTACAGAAGCCCTCAGGGGCAATCAGGGCCGGCAGCTGCTGCTCACACCCACTGATGGTGCCAAGTGACCGGGGCCGGTGCCGGGCACTCGCAGTGGGTGTGAGCGGGGCTGGTGCTGGCAGCAGGTGCAAGCACCAGGCAGGACTGCAGTACACGGGAGCAAAGAATTTTCAGTAACCACCAGAGGCTCGCCCCGATGACAGAGACCGGCGCCCCGCCTTGGTCTGGTCCCCCTGCTCACCTGCTCCACCATCCCACCGCAGCCAATGCTTGCCATGTTCTGCACTCTGCCGCCTGCTGCCGACACCTGCCATGTTTTGCACGTGTCCCCTGGTGGTCAGTGCACATCATAGCGACTGGTTGTTCAGTTCGGTTGTTCTGCCGTTCGGTCTATTTGCATATTGGGTTTATATATGTACACACATATAGATAGATGATAGATAGATAGATAGATAGATAGATAGATGCTGCTCATCAACATAGATCTATAATCATTGCTTAATGCAGTTATCTTTTAAATTATATAGAGGAGCAAAGAGAGTTACAAACAAAAACATATTTATGCTATTTTTTATATTTACCAATATAGTCACCCTTACTAGTGCTATTTATTGCTTAGACTTTGAGCTACTGTAGAGTGTCCTCTCATTTCAGCCTTAAGAACATCCTATAGTACTTCTTGTAGGACAGGTATGGTAGTGACAGATTCTCTGTTTTTGTTTAGCAAATGATGCCTTAATTTCTCCTTCATTTCTGTAGGAATGTTTTGGTGGATATAGAATTCTTGATTGACCGTCTTTTTCTTTCAGCACTTTATGTTATCCTATTCCCTACTGGCCTTCACAGTTTCTAATGAGAAATCACCTGTTAATCATTTTGAAGATCCCTTGTATGTGAGGAATAACTTCTCTATTTTTGCTTTTAAGACTTTCCCTCCTTCTTTGACTTTCAATAGTTTGATTATGATGTGCTTAGGTGAGGATATGTTTGGATTTATTATACTTGGACTTTATTGGGCTTCTTAGATATTTAGAATAATGCTTTTTTTCTAAATTTGAGAAGTTTTCACGATAATTTTTAATTTATTTTATTCTTTTATTTTTAAAATATTTATTGTTGAGAGTATAGATACCCCCCTCTCCCCCTCCCCCACTTTACCCCTCTCCACCTGTGCTTTCTCCTTTATTTCTCTAGTTATAGGACTTCCATTTCACCAGGTTTCAGGTGGTTCTGAATGATGGTTGTTCTGTATTTTAGTTGTAATTTTGATGTGGTTGTAGGAGGCAGTGAGTACCAGCATTTACCTACGCCACTATCTTGGTTCTCCTCATGATTATTTTAAAAAAATTCTTTCTGCACCTTTCTCTTTCTCTTCCCCTTCTGAGGCTTTCATTAGGCATAGGTTGATAAGTTTGATGGTATCCCACAGGTTTCTGAAACTTGTTAAGTTGTCTTCATTCCTTCTTATTTTTTTCAGTCTGGATAATCTTAATTGACTTATAGTCAGGCCCATTGATTCTTTCCTCTGCCTGTTCATATCTGATATTGAGCCCCTGTAGTGAATTTTGTATTCTGGCGATTGTACTTTTCAATTGCAGAATTTCTGTTTGATTCTTTAAAAAAATATAATTTCTATCTCTTTATTGATAGTCTCTGTTTAGACATTATTCGAATGCTTTAGTCTTCAGACATGCTTTCCTTTAGTTCTTTGAACATATTGAAAATTGCTCATTTAAAGCCTTTGCCTAGTAAGTCCCCTGTCTGGGCTTTCTGCTCCCCCCTCTTCCAGTGTATAGACCAGTGATGTGAACCTGTGACACGCGTGTCACCTATGATCATTTTTTTGGTTGATTTTTCTTTGTTAAATGGCATTTAAATATATAAAATAAATATGAAAAATATAAGTCTTTGTTTTACTATGGTTGCAAATATCAAAAAATTTCTATATGTGACACGGCACCAGAGTTAAGTTAGGGTTTTTCAAAATGCTGACATGCCGAGCTCAAAAGGTTCTCCATCACTGATATAGACCATGCTTTCTGGCTTCCTTTAATATCTCATAATTTTCTGTGGATGTTTGGACGTTTTAAATAATAAAATATGGCTACTCTGAAGATCAGATCCGCCCCCTTTACCCCCCACCCCGAATTTGTTATTGCTGTTCGTTTGTTTAGTGACTTTCTGAACTTTGCCATGTATGATCACTGAAGTTTCTGTTCAATTAACTTGGTGACCAGCTAATGATTAGACAAAATTTTCTTTAAATGTCTGAAACCAGTAAGTTGCACAGTCTTTGCCAAAGGGCTTTAGGTGTATGTTGGGGCACACCTTCAACACTCATCCAGGCAGTTTAAAACTTTACCTTAGTCTTCACTTTATGCTTGTACAAAGCCTCAAGGTCAACCTCAGGTGAAAGCTTAGGCCCTTCTCAGACTTTTCCTGAGCATGCTCACAGCCCTTACATGTGGCTGATTATCTAGATTTCAAGTCTTTTAAAGCCCACTATGGATATCACATTTACCAGCTTTTCCTCTTAAGACTTTTTTAGTTGCCCAACTGTTAGCCACTGCCTTAGGAAACCTCAGTGTTACAAACTTGCCTCTGATTATTTTCAATACATCGCCCCAGAGAAAACGCAGTTTACAATGTGTCAGGTCTATGTCCGGTCAAAGACAGTCTGGTGCTGTCTTCCAGGGAAACACCAGACAGTTCAAATAATGGCAGTTCTCTGGGAATGGGGCTTGGAATGAGTTCTGTTCCTGCTCTGCTCCATTCAGTGTCTGCTAGGCTGCTGTTTTACAAGCTGTAATTTCAGGCTATTAGTTTTCAAGGTTACCACAGACTTGAGGTGGGGACATGGAAATAAAGCAAGTTAAAAACACCATAAATTCTTCCCAGATATCTGCAAGCCTTTGGTTAATTTTCAGAGTTCTGAAAAGATATCCTAAGGATGTGTTCCAGCATTATTATCTCTTCTGTGGAGCAGACAATTTTGAGAGGTCCTTGTTCCACAACTTCTCTGACATCCCTCTTCATTTTTTAAAATCTTTGTTGTTGAGAGTACTACATGTGTCCCCCTTCCTCCCCCCACTTCCACCTCCACTCAGTTCCCACCCCTCCTCACCCCCCAGGCCTTCACTACACTATTGTCTGTGTCCGTGGATTATGTATATATGCATATAAATTCTTTGGTTATTCTCTGCCCTGCCCTTCCCTCTGAGATCTGTCAATCTGTTCCATGCTTCCATGGCTTTGGACCTATTTTGTTCGTTGGATTTTGTCCTTTATATTCCACATCTAAGTGAGATCATGTGATACTTGTCTTTCTGTGACTGACTTAAATGAAATAAGCCTGTTCATTTATTTTTAACTTCAAGGTTGTTTCTTTCATTTTTGGGAGTAGAAGGAAGACCTAGATTCTGTTGCAACTATGCGTATGACATTTTCTGTCTTAAATTTTGGACCCCAGTTTTCCATCTGAAGAGGAGGCATGCAAATACACTTTCCCATCAACTCTGTAGAGTCTGTGAACTAAATTCTATTATGTATGTGGAAATACTTTGGTCCCTTTGGAAGAAAAGCTTCATTACTATTACTTCTAGTTCTTCCCATGTGTGTCCTTCATCAAACCACCAAACCAATTGCTTATTTTTCTCTGCCTCCACTCCTTCCTCCCCTTCACCTCTTTTTTTAAGAAAGAGAAAATGTTCTTCTCCCTGTAGACCTGCCGATAAATTTAAATTGCTTTAAATATCTTTACAAGTACTTGAAAACGTTCACAAAAAAACTGTTATTTGCCCTTTGACTGGAAATTATGATTATTTTACACATATGCAGTATATTTTAATGTAATCTTGAATGTGATTATTAAAAGTTTTTATATTATACATAAAACTATAGAGTTTTGAAACCTACAATAGTCATTTATATTACCCACTCCTGTCCCCCCGCCCCCTCTTTTGTCAAGTATCTCCCTAGCTCCATCAATTTCAAACTTGTCTGTGGAAAGTGGTTAGAATACATGGCTTTTAAAAAAATTGTGGTCAAATATACATAACATAAAATTTACAGTTTTAATGATGTTTAGGTATACAATTCAGTGAAATTAAGTGCATTCACATTGTTATGCAATGTATGCATCTCTTTTTGAAAAATATAGATTTCATAGTTCCTGAACAATATTTGCTTTTTGAACCAATGTTGTTACTAAAAGTAAGTAGTGTGGACTATACTGGATTTTGCTCTTCATTTTGAAGGAAGCTATGAGATTTATAAAATGTGGTAGTTGTTGATTTCATTGGTCATGTTTCCTTTACCTCATTTCATTTCTGAAAACAACTTGAACAACCTAATTATCCATGCGCAATAAATATGCTTAACTCACATCTCTTTTGGTGCTATAGGTTGCAGTGCAGGCAGGAATTAACTCAGAAACAGCCATGTCAAGAGGATTGTATCAACCAGCAACAAGCTTTATGGGCCGCCAAATGTCAGCTGTCTCAAGCATTGGAGATTTCGGCACAGAGGAGAAATCTCCCCAACCCACAAAGAACTTTTCAATTCCTGACCCACATTCACACCAACAGACAGCCCAGAACTATAATGTGACAGACAGCTATGTAGTACAAACTAATAGTGACACAGAGTGCTTAAATAAGTCTGACAAAATAGATGGAAAGACATCTCTTCAGATTGGTGAGAAAATGCTAGTCACAGCCAGCGTTCTGTCTGAGGAGGAACAAACTCATTGCCTGGAGATAGGAAGCAGCACACGTCATGGCAAGAGTAATTTATCTGAAGGCAAAAATTCTGCTGAACTTCATTCCCCGTTACAGGAAAGATTAAGTCCAGAGAACAGAACCACTGACTTAAAGTGTGACAGTTCCAGCAGATCAGAGGGATCGGAGAGAGAAATACTGACACAAGAACATATTGAAGTCAAGGAAGAAAGAGCCAGACCGCCTGCCTCTCCGCTATCAGTCTCGGAGTACTGTGCATCTGAAAACAAGCATTCTCAAGACAAGCATTCCGCTGGGGAAGTTTTCTCAGGTTGGGTGAGAGGCTGGGATTATTTGCTGATTTTTGTTTGGTATTTAGTTTTTCTAGTTGGTATTGGTCTTATGTAAGAACAAAATATGCACTAATTTTAATCTTTGTAAAAAAACAAAATAGTGTCTTCGCCAACAAAGTCCATTCAAATGAGTTCTTAAGTGTGCATGTGGAAATATTTTTGCAAAAAAATTTATCTCATTTTTAAACTCACTGTGATATTTTAAAAAATGTTTTAATGAGTTTTTATATACTAAAATGAGTTGTGGATTGTTGCTACATGCTTTTAGCTGTGAAGTAATTCCATCTGTGAGGTGGAACATCTTACCTTGCTTCTCCCTGAGGTTAGTGATCAGTAATCTAATCATATCCCCTCTTACAGATCATCTTCCTCATGCAGACCCAGAGTCACAGAAGCCCTTCCAAAAAATGCAGGAAGAGTGGGAGGAAGACAGTTTGAACAGCAGCAGTGACCTCACCGTTTCTGTAAGTGAAGATGATCTGATTTTAAAGAGCCTGGAACCACAACCAAATCCAGGTGACGAGATGGAGGGAGAAGATGGAATAGAGGCCTTAAAATTAATCCGCTCCGAGCAAGAAAGAGATGCCCCATCCACTGAAAAACATAATTGTATTTTGCAAACCCTAAGCTCTCCTGATTCAGAAAAGGAATCCTCTACTAGCTCACCAAGACAGTAAGCCATTCAATTTTTTTTCACTATTCTGTTTTTAATTATAGACATTTTTAGAGACCAGTTCACATGGAATGTATTATTGCACACTCAGTCATGAATGTGTAAGTTCCTTAAGTCTCATCAGTAGTCTTTTAGATAAGATATAATTTTACTTTTTTTACTTTTTTATGAAGTAGCTTTAAAAATCTGATTATTGTTGAATTTAAGGTGATTGGCAGTTTATAATCATATCCAAACAATCTCTGGTTAATTCATAAATTATTCCCCCTACCCTCCATCTTTTTAGAAAATAAATCATTTAAAGTTCTGATAGCACACAAGGTAGCAAACCGTTAAACTTACTAGGAATTCATCTTTAGCGACTAAGAACTTATATCTAATTAATTTGCTTAATCCCTACATCACATGCCAAAGTAGTATTCTGGTCATTTGATTAAATAGGAGTTAATGAATTCTTCTAAGGGTATATCTAAGCCAGCTTTCCTTTCTGAATGTAAATATGAGGACATTGAAATTTTTCATGTTAACTTGGAATAACATCAGTGTTATATATTTTGAGCACTTATAGTATTTAACTCATAAAGGCTCATATATGATTTTTTCACTATTGATTGGCGATATTGGGTAAAATTGTGTAGATAGTCTGGAAACTGTTGAAAGCCAATTCTGCACTAAAACACACACACACACACACACACACACACACACACACACACACTAATAATATCAAATCTCTTTTAGGACAAGTAGGAACCTAAGTAAACAAACTAATGTAAACATCACCTTTTAAAAATGAGGAGACCAAGGCCTGGGGCATAAGGAGTAACACATAGGCCACTAGCGCAGACCCTCCGTAGAGCCTCCCTGACCCACACAGCCCTCAAAACTTTGTTACACCCAGATGCTGTCATTCTTTCCTTCCAACAAACCCTACTGGAAACACTGGCAAGAGTAAAGAGCCGCCTTGGCCTGTGTGGCTCAGTGGTTGGAGTATTGTCCCATGCATTGAAGGATAATGGATTCAATTCCCAGTCAAGGGCACGTACCTGGGTTGCAGGTTTGACCCCTAACACCAGTTGAGGTGCAGCTGAGGTGTGTGCAGGAGGCAACCAATCAATGTATTTCTCTCTCTCTCTCTTCCTCCTTCCCTTCCTTCCACTCTCTCTAAAAAAAATCAAAGGAAAAAATATCCTCAGGTGAGAATTGAAAATGGCAGTATTTTATTCTCTTGTGCCTGAATAATATTCCATTGTATGCATATATTTTTTTATTCATTCATCCATCGATGGACACTTAGGTTGCTTCCATGTCTTGGCTATTGTAAGTAATGCTGCAGTGAGCATGAGGATGCATATATCTTTTCAAGTTAGTCTTTTGCTTGCTTTTGAATAAATAACCAGAAGTGAAATTGCTGGATCATATAGTCATTCTATTTTTAAATTTTTGAGAAACCATCATAATGTTTTCTATAACTTTTGAACCAATTTGCAATCTCATCAACAGTGCACAAGGATAGAATTCCCTTTCCTCCACACTGTTGCTGACACTTATTTCTTGTCTTTTTTAAAAAATATATTTTATTGATTTTTTTACAGAGAGGAAGGGGGAGGGATAGAGAGTTAGAAACACCAATGAGAGAGAAACATCGATCAGCTGCCTCCTGCACACCCCCCACTGGGGAAGTGCCCGCAACCAAGGTACATGCCCTTCACTGGAATTGAACCCGGGACCCTTCAGTCCGCAGGCCGACACTCCATCCACTGAGCCAAACCTGTTAGGGCTCTTGTCTTTTTTATAATAGCAATTCTAATAGGTGTGAAATATCTCATTGTGGTTTTGGTTTGCATTTCCGTGACGATTAGTGATGTCAAGGACCTTTTTGTGTACTTGTTAGCCATCTGTTTGTTTTCTTTGGAAAAAATCAGATCATTCTGCACATTGTTCATTGGATTTTTTTGCTATTTATTGAGTTATATGAGTTCTTTATATATGTTGGATATTAATCTCTTATTAGATATAGTATTTGCAAACGTTTTCCCTCGTTTTGTAGGTTGCTTTTTCATTTTGTTGATAGTTTCCTTTGTCGTGCAGAAGTTTTTTAGTTTGATATAGTTCCACTTGTTTATTTTTGTGTTTGTGGCCTGTGCTTTGGTGTTATATCCAAGAAATTGTTGCTAGGACCAATGTCAGGCAGCTTTCCCTTTATGTTTCCTTCCAAGTTTTACAGTTTCAGGTCTTACATTTAAGTCTTTAATCCATTTTGAGTTTATTTCTGTTTATGATGTACAATATGGATCCACTTTCATTTATTTGCATGTGGCCATCCAGTTTTTTAACACCATTTGTTGAAGAGAGAGACTTTGTGTATTTTTCCCATTGTGTATTTTTAACACTCTTGTCAAAGACTAGTTGACTGTATATGCATGGATTTATTCTGTTCTATATATCTGTGTTTATGCCAGTACTATATTATTTTGATTACTGTAGCTTTGTAATGTTTTGAAATCAGGAAGTGTGAGTCTTTTTACTCAATATCATTTTGGCTAGTCAGGGTCATTTGTAGTTCCATATGAATTTTAGGGTTGTTTTTCTATTTAAAAAATGCCACTGGAATTTTGCCCATGAACACAAGATATCTTTTCATTTATTTGTGTCTTCTTTAATTTCAACAATGTTTTGTAGTTTTCAGTATACAAGTCTTTTGCCTCCGTGGTTAAGTTTATTTCTAAGCATTTTATTCTTTTTGATGCTATTGTAAATGGGATTGTTTTATTAATTTTCTTTTTGGATTGTTCAATGAAGAGAAATGCAACTGATTTATGTGTGTTGATTTTGTATCCTGTAATTTTACTGAATCAGAGTATAAGCATTTTAAAGTTATTTCCCTGAGAAGAACATTAGGGTGTGAGCATAAATAGGAAAGCAGACCAAGGTCTGACTCCATATTCAAGATCAGGAAGATCAGAAGGAGCCAGAAAAGGATCTGAGACGAGGCTTAGTGAAGACCAAGGAGAACCGAGGTGTGCTGCAGACACCAAGCAGAGTGTTTCCAGAAAGGTTAGAAAGATTAAAGAACCTTTTCAGATCCCAGAGCTGGTTGGAAGAGCAGCTAGCATCCAAACTGACAGGTCATACTCAAAGTTCCTGAGCTCTACCACATACATCACAAGCATGACGGTGGTGTACTGGTCAATAGCACCACCTCTGTGCCAGGGCCTGTGTCAGCGCTTCATCTATAATTATTTATTCCTATTATCAGCACCATTTTATAGAGAAGGAAACTGAGACACAGAGAGGTTATGTTCAGTCACAAAATGGCTTATCTGGATCCAGAGTCTACATTATGAACTAGGATCCTGGGCTACCTCCCTCCTCTACCGCCTAAATAATGGCAGTATCATCAAGGATAAATTTTATAAGGTTGAATAAGGAAGATCAAGAAGCAAATTCGATTCTTTAATTAGAAAAGGGAAATAAAACTAAGCAGTGCCAGTTTGACCTTTCGCCCTGTCCATATTGATTTTTGTGCCTCCCAACCTCAGATAAGCTGGTGGAGTGCTATGTGCCCTTCTTCAAGCTTGAACGAAGTACTTGCAAAGCTCCTTTGTTCTTTCTCCCTTGGAGTACTACTGAGAGCAAAATGTAGTGCTGCCTCTTAAGTCAAATGAAAGCCTTGCTTTCTCAAGGTCATAAAAAGCTGATCTCATCCAGTGATTTTGATTTTAATTTAGTCCCTCTTCAAAGTTAAATATAGAAAGTTCTTGCAGCTGAGAAAGAGTTGCTGCTGAAAATTATATTGCCTGGAATAATAGGTTACAACTGTGTTCTTTTCGGATTTACCCTAAGTTCGCTTTAAGTGGATCTGGAAGCATATTTTAGATCCAGTGTCCTTCAGAAGTGACGATGCCTTCAGATATCTTTTCTCGGTTGCTTTTCTCCTTCACCACTATCACTTGTTCTTCCTGGACATGGCCTCTGCCGTTCAACATTGGTGGCCCCTGAGATATTTCTTGTCACCCCATTCTGGTTTTCGTTCCCAAAGTAAGGTTGTGCATTACACTTTCGAAAAAATAACCCTGTGCCAGCCAGGGGGCCTATTAGTGTATCCCCTCACGTTCTACCTGGCACTTCATTCCCCAGTCTCGCCTGTGCCTCTCCTGTTACCTACCTATTTTGAGCTGAAAAAATCTAAGACTTTCCTTATCTTTATTTTGGTTTACACTGCAAAAGTCCAGAACCGGGCAGTGTTCCTGAGATTTGATCCTCAGCAAAACAAGCAGTAATTGCAGTCATTACCACTAGGGGGTTCTGTACAGATGTTAAAAGACGTCTCCATTGACCAACTGAAACCTGGTTCCCAGCCTTTGCCAACCATCTCACCACAGGCTGCTGGCCTGAGTCAGAGGAGGTGCATGGCCCAGAGCAAAGGCAGGTGTGGGGGATACTGAAAAGCACTTGCAGAGGTTACAGCATGAGCAATTTGCTTTAACATTTCTTGCAAGGCAGGTCTACTGATGTCAATTCCCTCAGTTTTTGTTTGATTACTTATTCTTCAATGCTCATATATATATTCAGGTTTTCATTCATCTTGAGTCAAATTTGAAAATGTATAATGTACTAGAAAGAGATCTATTTTCTAAGTTTTCACATTTGTGAGCATACTTTATATTTTAGAATGTCTACTGTGTCAATAATTATTCCCTTTTTCTCTCATAATTTTTTGTCTGCCCTGTTTTTCTATTGATCATGTCTGCATAAGATTTGTCTATTTTATTAATTTCTTCAAATAATCCAATTTGATCCCATCTATTGCTTCTTAAAAATCTCATTCCTTTCTATTATTACCTTTTTAAATTTATCTTTATTGTTGAAAGTATTACAGACACCCCTTTTTCCCCCCATTGACCCCTCCCTTCCAGGCCTTTGCCACACTATTGTCTGCATCCATGGGTAGTGCATATATGCATATAAGTTCTTTGGTTAATCTCTTCCCACCCCCC